TTTCCTGTAACCCTTTTTTATATAGTAAATATAGTAAATGTTCTCAGCAATTCTTTTCATATTGGATTGCAGACTGGCATGAGGAAACATAGGTTACCCTTTGTATGACCTCAAATAAGCTTTTTAATGGTTTTTTAGTCTACCTGTCATAATTTGAAGTCGCATATGACGGGTAGAAAAGACTATAGAGTCTTTAGAGAGAGGGCAAAGCGCTGAGGCAAAGAAAAGTGTTCTGGACCTGGAAGCGCTCCGCAGTTAACGTTTACCAGACCTTCAGGCCCTGGACTATAGAGTCCAGTGCCTGAAAGTCTCTTCCATGCTATGCCCACACATCCAGTCCAGTGAGGTCCAGACGCAGTACTCCAAAAGCCAGGCTGATGATGACTGTACCAGAAAGCTGGAGTTGGAGAAAAAATTCTAGCAGGGATTGTAGAGAAGAGTCTTCAAAAAAAGTGCTTGCAAGAAAATGTTACCAGTATAAACCTAAAGGCGTCTTTGTGGGTGCCCTGCCTGAAAAATGCTTTCAGCTTGATAGCCTTTATGCAACTTATGAGTAAACTATCAAAGAATGTTTAATCCTCCATTGCAGAGGAAGACTGGTAATAAGGCCCAATGGCCACCAGGGGGCAGTGTCAGAGTTCCAAATAGGGGGGTTTTAATTCCATTTTTTTCCCCCAATACCGTAATCTGTGATTTTTAAAATTGTGTTTCATTGCTTTGTAGGTCTACAGGACACAATATGGTTGGGGCGCACACAGGTACTGCAGCGTGGTCCTATATCTTATTACATTGATGGAGCGCACACTAACAGCAGCGTGAAGGCCTGCGTCAGATGGTTCCAGCAGGTGGCACTCAATGAGGAGAAAGCTGGAACGTAAGTTCATTGGTAACACAGAATTCCATTATAATATTCTCAGGCTGCACGTTCCAGCGTGGTCAAGGCATTCTCAGGCTTGTCCCATTATCTTATCATCTGAAAGGCTGTCTATCAAGAAAAGGCAAAAACTGTAATTGTTTCAATATAAAGCCACTATAGCACAAGTAGCAATCTTCAGACAATGCAGATATAATTGTCCTGCAGTAAATCTTAAAAAAAAAATGTCTTTAAAGCAAACCTGTCATCAGGCGAAATGTAATTAATGAACCTTGGTACACAAGTACAGGAATTAGGTGCTAGTACATACTTTACACTGAGCCTTTGGGTGCTATTGCTGGGCCTGTGGTTTTGGCTGTACATACACTTTAAATACCAGTTTTGGGTAGAATTGAATGGCTCATTAATTATATACATATAATGTCCAGACCTTTTTGTAGGAGTCGAGACCACTTTAATAGTGACAAAGCTGTGTGTCATAATGTTGGTGCAATGTCATTGCAGGGGGTCCGTGGTGCGAGTTCTGCTATTTAATGCGACGGGTGAGCGAGACACGGCCGCCTTGTTAAAACTTCTTCAGGTTTTAATATTAGATCAAGGGTAGGCCACCTCTGCCCTCCAGCTGTTCTGGAACTACAAGTCCCATGAGGCATTGCAAGACTGACAGAGGCATAATAGGATTTGTAGTTTCGGCACAGCTGGAGTGCCCAGGCTGGTGACCCCTGGGTTACATCATGTAGTGTCTGAGAGCCATACTGGCATTGGTAAGAATAGCTCAGCAAAATGGAGGTTCTTTACAATGAAGTCCGTGTCTTATTTTGCAGCCCTGCCACTTTGACTACGCCATCTTCTGCCCGAACATCAGTGAGGTGTCCGGAGTGGGGATCGCAGGTGAGTGTTCTGCATTTCGGGCCTCAAACGGGTCGGGAAGCATCCTTGTTTTTCTAGTTGGAAAGACGATTTAGCTTTTAAAGAGCTTAGGGAAAAATAAAATGGAGAAATTGTATTTTTTGCCCTTGTGGCCTTTTATACATTAGAACATCAATTTAAACTGGTACAGTCTTGTATGTTTTTTTATGACCCATTTATGATTTATTGCTCCACTATCTCGCTCAGTGCATCTTTTTAAAGTCTTCTGGTTAGGATATTTCTATTGTATGACGTATATAAGTTTGCAGATTTTTCCACTTTAGGCTTTGTTTCAGAAAATCTTTGCTGATGAACAACTGCTGAGATATAATGTGGACTGTGCAGAGCATTCATTGTTTTGTGTATGTCACATCTGACTGGTAGACTTGTACTGAGCAAGAGAGATGAATAGTAATACACAATCATTACAAAGCAGGAAGCAGAGTATTCATATGTAATCATCAAATAGCCTGCACCCATGTACATGTAGGCATATGCAAATAAAATCTTTTACAGTAAGCTGAGTTCTGACACGTATATCGAATCTATTAAAGAACAGGTCCACTTTAATTTCATCCAGGTATTTAATTGACATTCCAGAGTTGTCTGTGCATAGCGAGGTTATTTTGGAACAGGAAACAGCGACGCTTTGTCTGGTCCGAGCGTTAGGAAGTGGATCAGACGCTTGACAAAACTGTAGACTTTCCTGTGTAAAGGATCAAATAGTTTGCAGGGTTGCTGCGGATTGTTCCCTCTACTCGGATGAAGCCCAAATAGCCATTTAGGCAGTTTGTGTTGTCCTGTTGCTCTGGCAAATTTCCACGGTGTAAACTGAACATAGAAAACTTTCCAGGTAAGAGGAAGTGGAGGCATGGGGAATGTATTGTGCATTGCTGTCAAGGTTAGATGTTGATGTATGCCAAGAGCACTTGTAGCTTTCTAGCAAACAGCATGATGCCAGGGAGGGTGGGGGTGGGGGTAGGCCAGTAAGGGGGGAGTAGAGGGGTTAGCTCCTCCTTCACCTCCACCATATCTATCTAAAGCCTATCTCCAGGAAAAAAAAAAAAATCTCCCCTTGGGTGCGTGGACAAGCAATGGAGCTGTAAAGAAGTGTGTGCACTGAGCTCTGCTCCCTACCGTACCGATTTAAGTGGACTCCCTGCATTAAACCTCTCCAAATCCCCATGACTGGAGGTCGGAAATCCCACAGATCAAACAGGAAGGCAGCCTGGCAAACCATACCTGGATACTTCTCACCGGCGGCACCGGGACCTAAGGCGGCCTCTCCTAGGCACATGGAAACAGACGGCCATATTATCTCCCACGTGTCTGGGCTCTCCCTGCCAGCTCGGAAAACGGAGGTAGGGTCCTCCTCTCCCTCCGGGCTGTCTGAGCGTGAACCCTCTCCCATACGTTCACCGAGACTGCATCCTGTCGCTTCGTCTCCCCCTGATCTGGCCCTGCAGATGTCGCCAGAGCTGGCTTCAGAGCCCGCAGTCACCAGAATCAGCCACGCAGAAATTAGACCAGATCCAAGCTTATCTTGCTCAGGTGGGGTTTTCCCGTCTGTCCTCGGAGGAGGTGGCGGATTGGACTCACCCCATCTCTGCAGGGGAGTGGACAAACCCAGAGTTGACATAGCCGTTCTTACAGGCTTACAATTCCTTGCTCCATGGCCATTCTTTACCCGGTCGACACCCTTCGAGTCACCATCAATGTCATTCCTAAGGAGGGGAAGGACCACGCACTCTGTTCCAGCTTTCCTACAATATCTTTGTTGAACGTCGACTTGAAGCTGCTCTTGATGGTTTCAGGCAAACCGCCTTTTTTACAAGCTTATTCACGCAGACCAGGTAGGATTTATACCGTGGAGAGACACCAAAGATAACACTGTTAGAGTGCTGAATGCGATATACATTGCTATGGAGAAACATATCCCCACCATCCTATTGTCCACTGACGCAGAAAAAGCGTTCGAAAGAGTGGATTGGTCGTTTCTCTGTTCGACACTTCGGGTGCTAGGCTTGAGGGATAACTTGTGCAGGTGGATCTCTGCCGTTTATTCTGTACCCATGGCCCGGGTGCGAGTCAATGGGACATACTCGGACTACTTCTCACTATCGAATAGTACTAGGCAGGGATGCCCACTTTCACCCTTAGGCCCCGTTCACATCGAGCGGTTCGCAAATCGCGCGTCTGTCGCGTGATTTGCATTTGCGCGATATCGCGCAAATGCTTGCATTGAGCAAGCGAGAATCGCGGCAAAATCCGCTCCAAAAAGGGTCCTGCTGTAGCGACACACGACCCGCGACAGCAGGACCCTTTGCCCCATTGAGATGCATTGAAGAGCGATATCGCGCGGTAAATAGCCGCGATGTCGCGGCAATTACCGCGCGATAAATCGATCAATGTGATCGGGGCCTTACTCTTTATTCTGTTGCTGGAACCGTTACTCTGCAGAATTGGAGCTAACCTGGACATTTCTTGACTTTTACGGGGCCCCATGACTCACAAAATTGCAGGTTACGCGGATGACCTACTGTTCATATTGACTAAACCCACTGTTTTGCTTTCAAATTTGATTTGAGAACTAAAGACCTATGGTGCGCTATCGAACTTCAATATAAACCTACAGAAACCCAAGGCCTTAAACCTTAGTTTCCTCATCCGCATTGCCAGGCCTACATTCGGCTTTCCCCTTTCACTGGTCGCTCACTCATATTGCTTACCTAGGGAACTCCCTTCCTCCATTGATAAGGTATTTGAGGTAATTTTTTTGCCGTTTTCTCTCAGCAAGCCGCCACAATAGTTGCCAAATGGTCTGGACGTACGCTTTTGTGGTTGGGGAGGAACCGTGTACTTAAAATTAATATTCTTCCGCGGTTACTCTACCTACTGTCAGAATCCTATCTTAATACCTGTATGGGTTGTTGCCTGGGTCTTTGTCTCTTTCGTTTATTCTTTTTTGTCTTCGTGTTGGAATCTCCTGGTTAGGGAGTTACCTATTGACTTCATCTGCTCTTCACTTTCCATCTCCATTTTCTTACCTTTTTTCTCTCTGCTTTCTCATCTCTAATTTCAAGGAGACCAGTTGCATAGCGCATAAAATTTACCCTGGATTATCTATTCTGAATTTGTACACTGACTACAAGTACGTTACTATGCTAACCCTGCTCCATGACTCTTGAGTCTCATATTCATGGCTGCGTGGCCTTGAAATTTGTATCCCTTGAGCTATATGTGCCCTACTACTGTTAGCAGTTTTGCAACTATAACTATATGAACTTCTGTTTGTCTGATAACTATGTTCTTGCTGTAATTGTTTTTATGAAAACTTTAAAAGAATTCATTTAAAAAATCTCCCCTTGTGGTGGGGCTACCCTCACACTGGAAGGGTTTGCTGCCCTTTTATGTCTAGGGGAGCTGTGCAAAGGATTGTTACTTACCTGATCCCTGCTCCTGAAAGGCTCAGACTGAAACCTGCATCCTCTTCTGCCATGTGCTTTGGCGGTTGGAGGCCCAGTGACATCATAAAGTACAATGCAGTGCCCCTAGGCCCTACATTATACACGAGGATGCAGAGGGAAAGTCTGCAAGCTGGAGCATAGGAGGGACTAGCTGAGCTCTGACTGCGGGGGTAGCGGGGATCAGGTAAGTAAAAGTCCTGTACACAGCCACCCTAGACATAAACAAGCGGTTAATCCTTTCAGTACGAGGGTAGCCCCACTGCAAGGGAAGTTTTTTTTTAAATCATTTCTCGGTAGCAGGCGGCCATATTTTAATCATTGAATTTAATCATTGAAGGTAGCATGGCATGCTACCTTTAAAAAGATACAATTGCCCTCTACACATAGAAAAATTAAAGGCTTCTATCCATAGCGTCACATCTCTTCCTACACAGGGTATATGGGTGTCCCACCACACTACCCCTTGTGAGATTTGGTGCCGAAATGGCTGCGGCTGGTGCCTCTGTAATCCAAGACATGAAGTATATAATATGCCTGATCAAGGGGCCCTGTGTGGTCCGGAAACGTTGCTGTCTGACCAGAGTGATTAGATGTCAATAAAGGCATATTGGACGAAGATCCTTGTGTGCTGGTGACATACTCTGTGATCTAGATCTGGTAGGTCACAACAAACTCCAAAAAAACAAAGCGTGTTCTGGGATCATAAAGACTTTATTATATCAAATTAAATGTACTTTTTGGTATAAAAAAACATTCAAAGTATGTATAATGTGTTCACATACACTATTAATATCTATCCCAATAGCGGAAATTCAGGTATCAGAAAGCCAGGCTGCGAATCACCTGGTGACGAGGGAGCATGGAGCTGGCTTCCCGGCCAATCAGGAAGCCGGACGACATGTAATGACTCACCACGCGGCTCCTGGATTGGTCACGAAGCTGGCCAATCAGGAAGCCAGGTGGCGAGTCATTACCCGTCACTTGGTGAAGAGGGAGCATGGAGACTGCTTCCCAGCTAATCAAGAAGCCGAGTGGTGAGTCATTACACGCCGCCCAGCTTCCTTAATGGGACTTCCGGTATCGGCGAGTACCGGTGGGAAAAAAAAATCTGAACTAGATACTGAAAATATTTTATAAACTGTTTTTTTATTTTAATAGTATAAATGATAGAAATGTCCATTTCAAATTGGTCCGCACAAAGCAGCAATTTATTTAATAAATGATGTGCTGAAGAATAAGTGTAACGCAGCGTTCCTCAACCTTTTCTCAGTCAAGGCCCACTTTAAAAATGTTGAGGCACTCCAGTCTAAAATGTATAAAACTGTAAATGTCGGAATGTAAAAAAATAAAGCCTGTTCCTTGCCACCCTTCAAGATCCGTACTAAACTCTTATCCTAAACAGGGGTCTGGTATGGAGTTTAAAGGGGCACACAGGCAAAAAAACAATGTTGAGTTCCCCCCGCCACCCTCATATCAGAATCCCCCCTTTTGGGGGGTACGTTTGGTAAAATTTGATGGCACCACTGACCAAGCCTGAAGGCACCCCAGGGTGCCACCCTAACCTGGTTGAGAGTCTGGTGTAAAGAATGTACAGTACCACTCTGTGGAGGGTAGGTAGCTTATGTAATCATGTTTGGAAACCATGGATGCTTTAACTTTAAAGGGAGGCGGGTCATGTAGGAGCAGAGCCATGCTCCAGAGATGGCTTTGAGGAAGAGTTATGTTGAAATGTGTCGGCTAGGAGGGACATTGTAGTAGCATTAGAATGGAAAGCTGCAAGTAAGGAGTGGAACTACCTAGACGGATGGCACATTGTTTTTGAAGTCTTCACAATGCCAGTGAGATACTAATCTCTGGATTAGTAGTGCAGGTCACCCTGGTACAGTTAGGTGTCACTTGCAGTATTTGCTGGAGCTAAAAGGAAGAAGGTGCAGGCTTTAACCTGAAGGCAGAGTTTCAGCTCTTTAAACCAGGTGTAGATCTTGCTTTGCCTTGCTCCTCCTATTTGCTGCTAGGTATGCAGTTTGCTCTCATACCACCGAACTTCCTATAACTCCTACGGTAATAACCAAACTGCGTCTTTTTCTTTCACAGATCAGCAGAATTACAATGTGACTCTGGAGAATGTTCTGACCCGATGTCTAGAGAACCAGAAGAAGTGGAACATGTTAATGGAGGAGAGAAGCTGTTCTGATCCCTGGGCTTCCCCACTGCCTGTTGACACCCTTATTAAGGACAGCCCCTGCAATTCTCCCCTGCTCCTCTCCCCTTCTTCAGATCGTCTCTTAAACTGTAACTCGCTGGTGTTCCCCTGTATCTCTCACGCCCTGCAGTGGGCCACGCAGGGGCGAGACCCCAACTTCCATTGTCTGGACAATAATCTGTTCCACCATCACCCAGTAGCCAGCTCTGGCTCTGTACTGCTAAGAGAAGCGGCCCACATCCAGATCCTCATAACCGGGAGCCTTCACCTGGTGGGAGGAGCTCTGAAGCTGATCGACCAATCCCTTGCTCAGTGACCAGGGATTATCCCGTCTCGACACCTTATTGTTTACTTGAATGGCGGACCTGCCCTTGCTGCCTGATATTAGTTACCCTCCTAGCTGCCAGAGACCTCCTCTCACAATAATCTCTTGAAAGCATTCTGTAATAGCCTGGCAAGTGCTGGGATCATTGATGCTCATTACCTCTGGACCATGCTCTTTTGTGAAGGGCTGCCTTTTTTAAAGAATAATCTATACCAGACCTCTGTAGCAGATGATGAAATTCCTGGTGCCCTCTCTGTACATAGGTGGGATACATTTTGGATAACTGCCTTGTATATTTTTTATTTCATTCGTGCAGAAAAATATTTATTAACACGGTTCTTGTGTTGGGTTTTTCTTTCTATAAACTTGTGCTCTGTCCTGGTGGCGGGTGTAGATTTAATTTCTCTTTCCTGGCAATGTATTGCCTTTGCTTGCATCGGTGAATGTTAATACACTATTAGGTGTATCAACAACGCAATTATGCTATGGCATTGATGTGATGCTCAGTTCAATGTAAGGGGCTTAAAGTGACATTAAAGTAAAAAAAAAAAATTCCCTCCCCCCCAATGTTAATTAAAACACTTACCTTAAATGATGTCCCTTACTCCGATCTTAATCTTCTTCTTTCCTGTCCTTTTTCAGCCTTCTTTCCAGCGGTGCGGCGGGTCTCCGATCCAGCGCTGACTCCCCTGTCCTTGCTGGCACTTCCTGTCCCACGGTGTCTGCATGCGGGTGCACGCGTCCATAGACTTACCTTGTGTCTCCTCTTCTCCCGGCCGAAAATGTGAACTGTGCATGCGCCCGCCCCAAAATGCTTTGGGGCCGCCCGAACAGTTTTGGATTTTCGGACAGGAGCGCGCGGGGAAGACATGGGTAAGTTTTTAAAGCGGGTTTTTAAAAAAAAACTTTTTGTCGGTCTGAACTATAGACATACAACTTAAATCCAAATGGCTACATGTACAAATGAAATATCTATATGGAACATGTGTTATCTGACAAAGGATTTCTTTATGGATCCATCCACGGATGTGTCTGGCAGGGCAAGGAACCTTGTTTTTCCTGTGCATTGAGGCACAGATACAAAAGAGAACCTTCACAGATACAATTGGTTTTATGCGGCTGCCTACAGGAGGATTAGACATTGGAAAAATTGTACGCCAGAAACCCTCCTTTACCCACCATGTCTGATTTTTTGCTAGTCCTTTTTAGGGTCTTTTTTTTTTTTTTTTTCTTTTTTCCTTTTCCCATTGACTTTTCTCACCACATCACAGCTTGAGCTATCCAGATTGGAATTTTTTCAACTTCTCTTTAGAGGCCATACCTGTACCCTGCTCCATTGGATGTTTCTGGGTTAGCTTGGAATGTGACCTTGGGGCACCGGGCTCATTGTGGTGCTTTCCAACCTTGAGCGTGCTGGTAAAAGTTAGCCGCTGAGCAATCGGAGATGTCCTCCTTCTGCAAAACACTTTAGTAAAGAGCAGTTATGTGAGCACTTCCTGTGAACACGTACAATTCTGGCCATTGTCCTGTGACCTGCCTCATTAACGAGGTGTTTTCCACAAACCCGTCACTTACTGGATCTACTTTATAAACACTACACTGTAGTCTCTGGAGCTCAAAGTCATGAAGATTATACATTGTCCCCGTTCTGGAACTTAAATCAAACCTTATAATGTGGCCACAATGTGGTGCATTTTGTCTGCAGTAATATGTTGCGTGGCACAAGAGGTGACCCATCTGGACAAGAATTATATCTGATACAAGTCTTTGAGATTGGGTCACAAACTGGGTAGATGCCTTCCTCGGTCTTGGCATCATTTTGTATCACCCCAAAGTGGAAATAATCACGGATTGACATTTGTCTCTCCCCAGTCATCAACAAACTCCCCAAATTCCTCTTAATGTCTAACTTCAGTTTTTAAAATGGAATTGATGTACTGTATAAATATTAATAATACATTCCAGGAAGAACAAAAATTAAATCAGCCTTTGCGCCAGTACAATGGTCTACTTCTAAGAAAGCTAGTTGACTGGATGTCATCACTTCAATAACTGGAACAATTGAAGGGATATTAAAGTATAATTGTTTTTTTCCCCCTTCCCCCAATGTTAGTGTAAGCACTTACCTTAAAGGAGAACTATTTTTAAAGACATCGGTCAACATTCCAATGCATAACCTTCCCAATACCATGACACCGAGCATGTGTTTCCTACTGGTGCGGGACCATGAGCAGATCCTTCAGCAGACGAGCCCAGGCGTAGTCAATAACAGATTTGTTTGGACGTTTAACACAAGACTCCCAGTGGTAGAAGCCCCAGTCTGTGGAAAGATCACATGTACCTACTGCATGGCTAACTCAAAGTCGAAGATGTTAGCCATCGAGGGAAACTCAAGTGGAATTCCAGTAAGCAAGGATTTGTACTGTTCACCTTAAAATAATACTTGATGTAACTTTTACATGTTCACAGGCTTTCTCTACCATATGTTGTATTGTATTACATCTACAGACATTAAAGGAGAACTATGGACTAAGTGTTTTTCCCCATAGTTCTCCTAAGGGTAACGGGAGGACACAAACTAGCGTCCTCCCGTCACCCAGAGCTCAGTATACCGTGAGATACGGCCCGCAGTATACTGAGACGCCGGGACGGATCCCGACAATTCTCTCTGGATCCACCCAGTTGCGTGAGTGACAGCTGCCTCTGCCTATCTAGAGGCGGAGCCAGCTGTACCCGCCCCCGTCCGTTCCGCCAGTCAGAGCTGGAGGATCAGACAGGTGAGTGACAGTCATGGCTCTGCAGGGATAGATCGAGAAGTGAGCGAGTGACGGTATGTGTTCGCTCACTTCCTGATCTACTGATCTACAGTTTCCTTGTCACAGGTCGGCTCAGATTATGAGGCTGTGAAAATCACTCGGCTGATAATTCTTTAAATGATGTCTCCTAATCCGATCATCTTCTTTCCTGTTGTTTTCAGCGTTCTCTTCAGCGCTGCTGCGGGTCTCCGATCCAGCGCTGACTCCTCTGTGCTTGCAGGCATTTCCTGTCCCACTGTGTTTGCATGCAGGTGCACGCGTCCATAGACTTACCTTTGTGTCTCTCCTCGTCTCCCGGCCGAGAATCGGAACTGCGCATGCGCCCACCCCAAGATGCTTTGCGGCTGCCCGAGATAAACGGAGGGTTTAATAACCCTTTAAGCATATCCGGCGTTCTAAACCAAGATGCATCTAAAGTATATGTATCATAACTACAAAACCAAAAAACAAATCTGAAGTGTATATATCCTAACCCCGAAAACATAAATTCCATTCCCAAAAATTTTTTTATAAAACAAACCGTGTCATTGTAATTCTGCAACTAAGAGGAAGAAAGTGTCCCAATCATCTACCGTGCAGTGTAATGTGCTCCACACTCTGAGTTCTAAAAGTCACTTCATAAAATCAAATCTCTTCTCAACACCTTAGTTTATAACTTATGAGAGGTGATTTACACTTGCCTTTTCACTGAAGCTATCACACTATTTAGGGTTACTTTAGGGAAGAGTTAGGAGCACGGGTATTTTGGTGAAGGATTAAGCATAGCGGGATTTCTGACTGCACACTCCTGATCTAGATCCATGATCCTGGCCAGCGATTCAAAACGTGTTGAAGTCAATTGATAGCCTGGCAAGTAGCATTATTAATATGACCAGTTTCCAGAATGAACTTGGAAACCAATTAATCCAGAGATTTTATGTCCAAAGAATGTTTTTAGTGGTTGCTTTTGAGGCTCTAAAGCAGTGGTCATTAAATGGCGGACCAAGGTCCAGACACAGATGTGTGGTGGTTCTGTCCGCATCACTGGGTTATGGCTGACTGACGGTGGATACACTTGCCTCCACTGCCAGCAATAACCCGGCGCAGGTCTCCCCTCTGCTTCAGTCATTGGCTGCTAGCAACCAATGACGTCAGGCAGGCAGGGCCGGCTGCTACAACTACAAGTGATCTGGGCGGGTATACAGACATAGCCAGGTTCAAGCCACTTCCTCTGCTGTGATTTTTGGGTTCCCTGCTCCACTGAGGGGACCCGGCACCATAACAAACAGTGTCAGGATGGGGAGCGGACTGGGGAACGTCCGTTCCCTGATCTGCTCTGTGATAACTGAAACATGAAATGCTCTCAGCATTTATGCGTCTGCTGTGAGAAGCTGGCTGAAATGCTGGTAAACCGAAGGTGAAGCATAGGGTAGACATCGGAGGCCACGTGTCTCCATAAAGACGACTTGTCGCCTCCAAATGTCACATATGGGGCTTGTTAGCCCCTTTGTGATGGCAAAAGTTAAGTGAAAGAAAAAGTAAAAAATAAAATTAATTAAAAAGGTGAAAACAATTTAATTAAAAAGGTGATGAAGTTAAAAAAAGAATAAACTAAATTTAAAAATGTGATGAAGTAAAAATGAAACAAAAAATAAATAGAAAAGTTGATAAGCAAATATAATAAAATTAAACCCGACCCTGCCGCCTCAGCTATCTGATTTGAATGAACACGTGCATGTATGGCATTCACGTTCATGTAAACGGGAAGGGGGAGAGCTAACAAAAAAATAAAAATAAACCGTGCAATGCGCTAGGAAGGGCGCTTCAGCACTGTGCCTGGGAGCACATGAATGAATGCAGCGTAAATGGCAGACTGTGGTCCAGACACTGACTGAATGACCAATCTGTCCGGCCCGTGATTAGGACCTCGACTAAATGTAAATTTGATTTACCAGATGTACTTCTATTTTCATTCACTACCCCTTCAACAAAAGCCACGCTCTTCCACTCGCGTCTATTAATATTGTGTAGAAGATTTACAAAGGTATGTAAGGCTGGGCACACACCTTACAACCATCGCAAGACTTTTGTCTTGCGATGGTTGTAAGGTACTTAAAAAAACGTACGATCTGCCTATCTTGCATAGGCAGATCGTACTTGCGATGATCGCAAGCCACGCCCCCTGAGGGGCGGGCTTCCGATGACCGCAATGCCGAACGGGCAGTGTGCGCTTGCGCACACCGGCCCGTCCGGCTTTTATCTTACGGACATGCTACACACTCGCTTAACATCGTACGATGCTCGGCGGGTTTTCGAACATGTCCGTAAGTTAAGTCGTGCGACCTTACAGTAGTAGAGGTCGCACGGCTTCCACACACCTTACGATAATCGTACGATCGCGGGATTTCCCGCGATTATCGTACGATTATCGTAAGGTGTGTGGGGACCTTTAAAGGACATTGGGCTGCTTATAACCACTCCACCTGTGGATATGTGATGTTTCCTGCACAACAGACACTGTTGGTGGGACTTGAAGAC